AAGCTGGTGAGGGGTCTGGAGGACAAGTCTTATGAGGAACAACTGAAGGAACTGGGGTTGTTTAACCTGGAGAAAAGGAGGCTGAGGGGACACCTTATCACCCTCTACAACTACCTGAAAGGAGGTTGTAGAGAGGTGGGGGCTGACTTCTTCTCCCTGGTGACAAGTGATCAGACGAAAGGAAATGGATTCAAGTTATGACAGGGGAGGTTTAGATTGGATATTAGGAAAAAATTTTTCACTGAAAGGGCTATTAGACATTGGAATAGGCTGCCCAGGGAGGTGGTGGATTCGCCATCCCTGGAGGTGTTTAAACGAAGGGCAGATGTGGCAGTTTGGGACATGGTTTAGAGGTGGTTTTGTCAGGCTATGTTGATGGTTGGTCTTGATGATCTTAAAGGTCCCATCCAACCTTAGCAATGCTATGATTCCCATGCGTTCTCCTCTAGCCTATTACCCAGAGATACTACCATCACCCCAGTGCTGTCAGCAAGAGAAAAGCACAAGGCATCCCCAGAACCAGTGTGTGTATATGTATAAACATGGACAGTCACTGCCACCATGTGGGGATTCGCATCTGTCACAAGTTTGTCTTCACCATCTGCAGGTAAACATATGGCTTCACCTTGTACATCTACCAGCCTGGACTATCTCAGCTTTACCTCTCCACAGAAGGAAAAACTGCATTTCATGTGGATGTGCCTCCCCACTATCACCACAAGACTTTTTTCCAAGTTCCGCAAACTCATCTAGTTGATCCTTACCAAATCTGGAGGCACCTAGCTGGGTATGCTTCTCACCTGCATGAAACTTCCATTGAAAATAAGGATGCCATGGCATGGATGAACCGCCACCCAGCTAAACCCAGTACCCGCTGCCTCCCCAGAGCTCCCCATCAGACTCCTTCCTGCCATAGCTTTGTGCTTGGTCTTCTGACTGAGGAAGACCTACAGATAAAGGTTTTAGCAGCTGGGCTAGAGTTGGTATACAGTTATTGCTTCAGATGAAGAGCAGAAACTCCATGCCATGACCTGGTGCCCTCTCCATCCTGCACTGCCTGTTGTCAGCATGTCCAGGTATTAGGTTTGCATGGGAATGTTTTGGTAGTGGGGTTTTTTGGTAATGGGTAGAAAAAAAAGGCTGCAAGAAGACACTAGAAACTGCCACATCAGAGAGAACCAGACAGCTGGCTCCAAGAAGGACCCATGGCTGACCAAAGCTGAGCCTTCTGTGATAACATATTTGAGAAAGGGTAAAAAGAAAAGCTACACAACAGCAGCAGAGAGAGCAACAAGAGTATGTGAGAAAAACCACCCTGTAGGCACAAAGGTCAGGGAAGTAGGAGGGGGAGAAGGTGCTGCAGGCACCAAAACAGATATTCCCCTGCAGTCTGTGGTGAAGACCATGGTGAGGTTTAATTGCAATAAATTAATTTTGAGTCTATTTTGCCTGTAACTGCCCAGTGATCTCTCCCTGTCCTTATCTCCAGCCATGAGCTTCTCTGTCATTTTCTCCCCCTGTCCTGCTGAGGAAGGGAGAGATCAGAGGGGCTTGATGGGCACCTGGCAGCCAGCCAACGTCAGCCCACCAGTCAGTCTCTCCCACCCCTCACCAAGGGTCAGGGACCAGCACTACCAAGGTCTAGCAAGGGTTTCACCAGCATATTCCTCCAGCCAGTTCCTCGGGTGGCTGAGAGTTGCAGGTCACAGAGAACAGCACAAAGGAGCTGCTATGCCAGTTTGTTGGCATTGGTAAAACAATAAAAGCTGGTTTTTGTCTAGCTGTTTGCTAGATCCAGCTAGTTTTGATGAATGAACAGCAAGAATTTAAACATTAGAATAATTACAAATACTCTTACTGGAATCATTTGAGGAGGAAGCCAAGTCTAAGTTCATTCAGGTCAAAAAAAGAATGAAAAGCAGATGGTTAACTGAAGTTCCGCTGGCTGCTGCAGGAGAGGTGGAAGAGATGTGCAGGTGTTAAGAGAATCCTTCCCCAAGCGCCTGTCTGCAGTTTCAGATGCATGGATGGAGTAAAGGAGCATCACCAAGTCACTGCAACCTAAAACCACAGTTCTCTTGTCCACTCACTGTGACCCCTTGGCCCTCCCTTTCACAATAGCCGTCTCTCATTAAGCCCAATCATTCCAGCCATGTGTTCTAATTGCTGTGCTCAAGGAAGTACTTCTCTTCCTGTTGGCCAGCCCACTGTAAGCAAGCAAGCTATGTAACAGGCCTGCAGACAAAAACATCTTGCTCTACTGGTCTGACAGCAAGATGCAAATCCCAGCCGTTCCATAGCCAGATGAAACAGACTGCAGTCATCACCTGAGGGGAGGAGAACTTATTCCTGAAGCCCTTATTACCAGAAGCAGCCTTTATACCTTGTTCCTTTGCTGTGATGTACCTCAAGTTTCTACCAAACATTCAAGTCAGATGGCCATCTACCACCTCCCTTTAAAGGCATTTTTTCAGATCACTGGATGAAAGCAGTCAGCTTTGTTCATGCAAACAGCAGATCACAGAGCTCAATGAAAGACCAACTCTGCTGCACTACTCTCTGGCATATGGTAATTCTGGTCTCACTCCTCCACCTAAAAACCAAGCAAGCAAAAAACCCCACACCCACTGAGCTCTCCAGGGTTAGTTAATGCCCGTGTGGCAGGGCACATGGCCCAGGATTTTACCCCAGCTACTTGTGCCCATTCCATTTAGGGCAAAACCTTCATTTGCTATATCTAGGCTTTGTTAAAGGCTGAAACCCCCTCTTCTTGCCTGTTGGGAAACTCAGCCCAGTTCTCACCCTGAACTGTTGTTCTCTTCCCAGTAGGGGCACTGCCCACTGTAGGAAGTGACTACATATCGCAGCTAGGTATAACCATTAGGCTTTGCTTTCCATCACCTGTAGTGACAAGGACCAACTTCAAACACTCAAAAAATTCTGGCAGAACTACATATTTGAAAAGAGAATGCTTGCTGGTTCCCTTCACCTAGCACACAGATCCTCACTGCATATTCCTCAAAGAGCCAAGCCTTAAAAACATGTCCTTTCAAATAAGGCTGTGCAAGGCATTTCCAATCACACTGTGCTTACACGCCAGTTCTCAGAGCAGGCAGATACTGCAGCACAGGAAGCTGAAGACTCACTGTACTTTTAAGAATCGCTTTGGACCCTCACTTTCAGCACAAGAGTTATTCCAGCCTTTCTGATCTTTCCCAATCCCACCTTGAGTTTACAGTCACTTGTCACCTGGGTCTTCCCTGGCTATTGCAGAGTGGCATCTTATCAAAGGAGCAAAAGCATTAAGTCAAATGCAACACATGAGCAGCATTTTCCATTAACTGCACTTTTCCTCTGCTGCAACAACCCAGTCCAGCCTCACCTCAGAGAAACACTTGACGCTGAAGCAGATCTTAGTAGCTTCCTTATTTCTTAAAGATGAAGCTGGATTTTAGGGGCTGCTACAGAACTTCACCTGGACTTTTCACCTGGATTTTTAAAGCCTTTCTTGCTCCCAGCTGCTGCCCAGAGGGACTAAGCCGGCCACCCAGGAACTGCTTTTAAAAGCAAAGCTTGTTTGCAGATGGTGTGATGTTAATGGTACATTCTTGCTCCAGCTTCATTTCATTCTCTCCTCACAAGTTTGTCCATGGCAGCACTTGTGGTAGTGGTTTCCCACTTACCTGTGTGAATAGACTTCTAAAGACACAGCTGTACTCCTCAGTCAACTATCCAGAGCAGCACAGAAAACATTATGCAAGGAGAAGGACATGCAAAATCACAACCCAGAGCTTACATCCAAGAAGATCCTTGACAGCTCATTCCCAACTAAAGGGTGTGGTCACTTCTTGGACTAGAAAAATCTTGTTTCAAACAGGGAACATACACAGCAAGCTGCGAAGGCCCCCAGTCCGCAAGAGCCAGGAAATTCATGCATGCTTGTGAAATGAGTGTAAGTCTGAGTCACACATGAGCTCCCTACCACAAAGACAAGAGGCTCACTCATTCCACTCTGTCTGCATACATAGCAGGAAGTCTTGCTTTTTCATCAGTGATACTCAAAGAGTGGCACAGCTCACCTACCTCTAACCACAGCATTGGGCATCGCTGCTAGCTACAGCCCTGCTTCTTTAATTTACTGAATTCTTATCCAGGACAACACCCAGGCCAGCAAGAAAGTAATTTTGAGATGATGGCAAAACACAGCAGTTCTGTGTGGTAACTCTGGGAAGATCAGTTGAATGGTATACAGAGGCTGGCAGGTCAGCATTAATCTAGAGAACCCAATGCAGGTTTGGAGGAGTGCCGAGTCCAGTTTACTGTTGAGCACAAATAAGTGTCCTGTATGTTCCAAGAATGCAATTGTGCAGTCAAATGAAAGTGACAAGAATATATAAATCTAAATTATCCCGGGCTTAAGGCACTACAAGTTTTACCTCTTCAGTCATTTGTTCTAGACTATTGCCTAGGAACAAAGCAGCCCAACTCAGAGGTTGAACATACTCTGCCCCTAATACGTACACCAATGACAAGGCAAAACTGAAGAGGCTGCAGCTCCAAGTCCTACCTTAGTTTCATGGTAGGATTGGTATTACGTTCTGATAAGAGAACTCTTAGCTTCAATGTCTGAACTCAAACTTGGCAAACATTAAAAAGAAATTTTAAATTTATATTTAAAATTTCAAAGGGAACAAAAAAAATCAAGAACCTATCCCACCCTGTGACCACCCTCTTCTCTAGCAATCCTAAGCTCCCCATTCTGTAGACTGCCACTTTTCATGTTACAGCCTGGTGACTACCACCTGAATAAGATGGCAGACTTCTAAAGCAACTGTCCTTGCTATCCCGTGCAATACAGTTTTCCACCCGCAGTAATAGATCAGGTTGCATTTGACAAGAGTCTTTTTATCCAGACAGTACTCATTTAACACAGCAAAAACTAACACCTTGATGACATTACAAAATTCCTCACATTTTCATTCAAACACCGGGCAATATCCAAAAGTGAAGAACTTACACTTTATTGTACTCATTTACATAGGTGAAGTCATGGAAATTATCCCCTTGATCTCGCTAGCTTGTTTAGATTTTTTTAAGTAGAAAAGTTACAGGCTATAATTTAGCCGAAGCAGTCACGCTTCAGTGTCTCCACAGCTGGAGATCAGACTAGACTTTTAATGGTCTCTTCCAGCTTATCTTTATTGGCCCCAGAGAACTCCTGCACCTGTAAAGAGAGATTGATTTTTAGAACTGTTGCATTCAATGCATCATAACATTAGTTGCATAGCATCCAGACGCACAAACACCTATTCAACTCTGCTATGACTAAAAATTTTTCATCCCCAAAACAGGAAGTACTCTGCAGATGTTTGTATATTCATCTCCCACTCAACTAAAAAACTCAGACAGGAGCCTATAAAAAAAAAAAAATCACTTCCAGACTACCACTGCAGGAGCCTTCTACACATAAAACAAGGGAAAAGACAACTGATCCTGTCTCAATTGATTCAGACTCCAATGCAGGCTTGTAGACACCCTGGAGGTCACAGCAGAGGTAGATCAAAGCTACCCTGGGCTGCTCAGGACCCCTACCAATCAAATTGTGGAAGGACTGCTCCAAATGATCTGTCCCTGAGCCTGGCTTCTCCTGTGAAAATTGTCCTTGTTGCAACTTACACAGCAGAAAGACAAAGGGAAGCAAGGTACAGAGCAGACTACACTACAGGCTATGAAATTGCTTGTTCAATACTCATGTTTCCAGGGAACTGCCAAGGTCATCCAAAATAGACAGCCACACAACAGGGTTAAGCATAACATCTCCACATACTGTCACATCATAATCACAATTCTTCCAGTTACATTATGAAGCAGTGGAAGTTTACCCTGAGAAAACTATCAAAGGTTCATCATTAGTCATGATCTGGTGCTATACTGAATAGAACTAAAGGTCACCCAACATCTGACACTCACTTTTCAAGGCACAATTCCATTGCCTTCAGCCATGAAACTTCCACCCAGGTATTGCTTTACTTCAGATAACGCACTTAGCTCAGCAATTCTTTAGTTCAGGCACATGGCCACTCACAACTACCCTGCACAGGCAGCCTACTATGCTGTCAGAGCATGGTCTGCATCTCATCCACCTCTTGGCAAAGCAGACAAGATTTCTGTTCAGTCCTGTGACAAGGACAGGACCCAGAACCTCTACTGCACAGGTGACAGCCTCTATGTAAAAGCATCCAAGCAGTTGTTTCAGCTGTGTGTACATTCAACCACATGTTGGAGACTTGTTTGGGTGGGATTCCATATGCACATACAGTCATATCTCTGCTTGAACATGAGCTGCATCCAAAGCACAAATACTAACCAAGATCAGTAGAAAGCACGGTGCTAGACAGACAAAAGTCTTAACATGGACATCTAACCCCACTAATCTCTCATGAAGCTCTGCCTATAAGACTACCTGTAACACTAACTTAGTTCACTACCTGTGACCAATAGGGTTTGCTTCACCAGTTAACTGCTGGTCCATGTTACATTTGCTGCATCACTAAGATGAACTAGCTTGCTCTCAGGAGTGTCTTAATGCCAGTGGTGGCCAAGATATATTCCCAAGAGAAAGGAGGCTATGTAGTCTAACATTCCCCATCTTCTTTCAAGTGTTTACCTCGCCTGTTCCAGTTCCAGAAAAGCAGAGCCTACCTTCTTTCCATTCTTGTAGAACTGGAACGTTGGCATGCACGTCACTTCACAGTGTGTAGCAACATCCTGGAAGGAACAGAAAACAACCTTCAGCCGTGCATGTCTTAAAAATGTTAAAATTTAGAACCCACTAGCTGCCTTTTGTTTAAGTGATAGGGCAAAGCCATTACTGCTCAAAATGAAGCAAAAGCACTTCTGGTAGTCCATCACTAGCAAAGCCAGTGCAGTGTTAACATCTCCCTGAAGTAAGCCTGAAAAATCCTTCTGTCAGCATTTAATTCAGGTAACAGCAAAACCACATTTGCTATACTTGTATGTGTTTGGGAAAAAAACCAGACCTCTGCATCAAAACAGAGATGACTATTTGTAAGGCTCAAGAGCCCTACAGCAACTCTTGTGTTTCAACCTGACATTGTTCAAGTACCTATTCAACTACTATATAGCAGACATTTTATTGCACTTAATTCAAGACATAGTGCCAAGAGCAGTGGAAAGACGAGACGGACCACCAGACAGTTGTGAGCCATTAGTTTTAGGCAAGATTGCATCAAAGCAGCTCAAGGCCTTAGACTAACACTCCCTCCAGAAGTAGAGGGTCAGCGTTCCAAGTTATCTGACTTGCCATAGGCCTTCCAGTCTGCAGATAACCAAGGCAGTTTGTTCTGCTCAGGTATCCTCTAAAAATTCATTCTTTAGTGTAAGCACTAAATCCCTATCTCTGCTTCTTAGACCATACCTGGGCATCATCCACATCAATTTCGATGAACACCACATCACCGTACTTCTCACACAAACTCTAGAATGAAAAAAAAAACTATGAAGTTAGTGTTGTAGAAAAGCTTTATTTTAAAAGACACAGTCATATAAGTTGCAAGGCTGGTGCTGTTTACTCCCCAGTGAAACTAGCCTTATTATATTAAAGCAGGTATTACTATATTACTGACCAGAGAAAATAAAAAAATTTCTGCTCCAATACCTGGAAAAGGGTTGTTCAAACATACTCCCCACAGAGAAGATTCAAATATGCCAAGACATAGGTAAAAGACTTCTTTTACAGCCTTTCTCATACTTTACCAGGAGATAACACTGACACCTAAGCACAGCTGGAGCTATTACAGTAACTGTGTACAGAAGGATAAGTATTGTTTCCACTCCATATCCCACCTCTTTAGGTTCGTAAGAGTTGCATCACCTCTAGACCCAAGATGAATGTAAGCATTAGGACAGCATAAGCTAAACCACATCCCAGCTATATCAAAGGTCAGTTTATTTAACTCGATAGTCTCAAAGTAGATACTTCTGTGACTTTTTCCTTTTCTAGAAAATGCTGGCAGCCACATGTGGCAAAAGGAAGTTTCCTCCATGCTACTGTCAAGGAGCACAAAAACATTTGTATAGACTTTAATATAGTTGCCAATAAAAACAGAAAGGCTACTTACGTGGAAAAAGGGCTTGATCATTTTGCATGGTCCACACCATGTGGCAGAGAAATCCACTACTATGAGCTTCTCACCAGCAGATTTCAGTTCTGCCTCAAATTCAGACTATAGAAAAAGAATTGAACATATTAATGACTTCCCCCCTCCTTTCTGAAACAATTTAGATTAATCCTAAAGCTAGTCTGCTCTCAGCCTTAAGACACTAACCATTTTGGTAGCTCTTTAAACACTTCACTTAACTGGGGCTACCATCATGTAAGTGCTTCACTGTGAATTGCTTTCATCAGTGCTAGCATCAGCCAGTGTCTTACAATTCTGCAATTAGAAAGGATCACAACGCTCACTTACCTCAAGTCACTTAATTGTGGAAACATAAGCTAGAAATTCATCTACCCTATGATCCTCAGCTCTGGCAGCTCTGTTTAGTGTTACCCCCGAACATGATCCTTATGGTTTTTAATAACCCGTTTTCTCATTTCTGCCTTGGCAGGAAGACTTCCATTTTCTTCTGGTACAGACTTTCCTCTGTGGAAGTTGAAGAGGGCACTAACCTTTGTACAGTCCTCCAGTTTGATGCCTTTTTCAATAAATAGTAACATCAAAATGATGTTGTGTTGTTTACTCTACAGCATGTTTTCTAGAGCAAGCTCACAGGGTAGTTATTTTACTCATTTGCCAAGTGAACTGACATGTAACTTCACTAGCCAAAGCAATGCTACACATACAGACTACACAAGTAACACCCACTACGTATTTAGAGCTTCGAGTCCGTTTGATGGACCTGGTCACATGAATCATTTCTGGACAATGTTCTTTGGAATTTAGGGCTCCTCACACACCATTAAGCATGTTTTCTGGTCAAAAAGTGGATGTTCGAGCAGAACTGAAAGACATTAAAAGCAAGAAATACTTGCATGCTAGCAAGAAGCAAACAGGTATCTCAGGCAGAAGAAAATGCCCATCAGCTACTTCTGACAGTTTCTTTTCCAAAGCAAGTACAAGCTATTTCAACATTCCTCAACTTTGCTCTTATGGCAATGCAAACTTCAGGAAAGCAGTTAATATAAACTTCATTTCAGATTATGCACATAAAAGATAGCTGCTTTATCCTCCCCAGCTTAACAGACCACAGCATGAGTGTTCTGTCAGCAACAGCTAAGTGAAAGCAATATGGTTACTGCCACATGTACACAGTGGTTGGTTCTGCAGTGCATGAGTAAGCCACAGTAAGTTGAGACTGGATTCTAGTAAGCTATTCCCCCCCATTAAAGAAAGCCATGCATGTAAGGAGCCAAGAGTGCACACAAACTGGTCACAGGTTTATTTAACAAGCAAGCAGAGCGTCCTGCACCAGCATTCTTGCTTATAAACCTATGTGAAAGTCTTCATAAGTTCCTGTAACTTCAAGTACACTTGGCATTACATCTCCCTGTTGATAAGACATTTTCCCTCCCAATGTAGCTATCTTCAGAAGTGCAGCCTCCACATGCTGAGCTCTTCCATCCCTGCATCTTTGAGATTCAGAGTCTACTCTGCTGTAAGATCAGTAGCCAACACTCCACAACACCTACTCTCCATCCAAAAGAGGTGGGAACATTAAGTCTTCCTGCCTCTCCACATTCCCCTGCTCCTGTACTGACATAGTATGCATGTCTGCATCCCAACCCCAAAAGTACCCCACTCCCACCAACAAAATTCAACTTCCCTGTACACAGCAATCCATGCTAGCTGCTCCCTGCAACTACTCATACCACAAGTTTCTCAGTCAAGCCTCACTCCTCCTCACCTTCAAATCCTACAGCTTGCTTTTTGGTACAGCCTCTCACACCTCTGCACTGTAACATCACCAGCTCTTGACTGATTCTACTTCCTGCACCTGCCTGTTAGGCCTTCCTCTTCTTACCCCTAAGTCTTCTGTCCAGCTGCATAATTACTGTAGTCTGCAAAAGGAAGTCCAGCCCTGGAATGTGTTCATCATGCAGCCACATAACTCAGGTGTGCTATTGCATAGACAAGGGGAAAATGGGAGAGCATGATACCCACAATTGGTCACACACCATTGGAGAGCTGGTCCTGACTACAATTGGGTGTTGCCTTGCAAGTCATCTCTAGTACCAGCCAAAATTGCTGTGGGAGAGTGAGAAGAGATGCAGGGTCCAAAGGTGCTTATTCTTGCAAGTTAAGAAATACTTAACTAGGGACAAGCCCTGAAAGTTTTCACAGACAGCTTAATATCCCTGGAGGCAGGAAGACAGTAGTTGGGGCAAAACAAGCTACTCAACCTGTCTGATTGACTTCCATAGTTGTCCTTCATGTTAACTCTGAAATTGTAAGTTTTCATATAAAAACCAGATCTTTGTTAACAGAAGAATAACCTCCCACAAGACCATTTGGCCACACTATTAGAGGATCTTATAACTTTGTTAACCAGGTAGCACCTTCCTCTGACCAGCTGGTTGTTGGTTTGAGGATTTTTTTTTTTTTAAATATTTAACTATAATCTTCCTGAGCACATGCAATACCTCATTTCGCTTGCATTGCCAGCAGAAAAGCAAATGCTGCGTGCAACAAATACACTGGTAGCAGGCCTCCATTTCTAAGGGCCAAGTAAGAGAAAAGGCTCCAGTAACAAAAGCCTCTAGTGCAGCAGGGATTCTCGGCACCAGGTAATACCTCAAAATGGAGGCTACTGACCACGGACAGTGCTGAAAGGGATCTACTGCTCTCAGCAATAGGTAAGATAGCTTTAATCAAATCTGCCAGATGGTGTGGACCTTAGATGTAAACATGATTTCCAACACACAGCAACTCACCCTTGAACTTGGATTAACCCAGTCAGCTGACTGCCAATGGTTACTACATAATTTAGTGGTTTTTTTCTCTTTTTTTTTTTTAAGTACAAAAGCTAGCATAAACAGACTGAAGGTTCAGCTGGCTGAGCCCCCTAGCAGATACCACTTCTAAAACTATCATCTGCATCTGAAGCTGCAAGTTTTCAATATTTTCTTTTACTGAAATAATAGAGGTAGCTAGTGTGAGAAGGAAAGCTTTGGCAACACCAGCTTTTTGACAGTTTATATACCCCATTAACTTCTGCTATAAAAGGCATTATGTCCCATAGTCAAACCCTGTTAAGTTACATGAGTCACCCATCTCAAGACTGCATATTTAAACCAACTGAAGTACTGCTCCTGCTGTCCACTAGCAGGGACTCAAGAGGGACCAGTAAAGCACCCTGAAAGCAGCCATTCTTCACAAGCTAGTCAGTTTCTGAAGAGCTGTGTTAGGAAAGGGGCCACATCTAGCTAGCTGTCACACTCACATTGCTTTACAGATGTCACTCACAGAAGCTTTTGCATTTAGTGAAAGAAGGGGTTTTCCTCTTTGTATCAGAGAGGAATACAAGTCTGCTTTACTGAAAAACAGAACTAATCCAGAAATCCCAGTTGCACTGTACTTGAATACTCTGGGTGTTGCTGATGTTAAAATCTTGTTATCAGCATGACTGTTGAGTCCATGCTCTTCATGGATGAGCAATAAAACTGTGCTTTAACTATAGCAGACTATTAATCAATGCTTATAGCTGGAAGGCCAGTGGAAGCCTAGTCCACTTTAAGTTAGAGCAGGCTCTTCCTCCAAAGCCAGGTTTATTGACTCCCTATTTTTTAGCTCTTCCAGCCTATACCAAAAACCTCAAGTTTTACTCAAAAAGTTCACCCCTTCTGTCCCTCCATAAACAGAGAAGGGGGAGAGATGCAAAACAGAACAAACATTTCAGGTTGAACTCACACACTATTCCATCTCCAGGACCTGAATCATAAGACATTTCATTCACCTTAACTTTGATGAGCTTTCTGCATTCACAGGTATTTAAGCTGGGGTCGCAAGAATTAGTATGCTCATGTGTCAGATGTTGACACCTTAGAGGTCCAACAGAGGAAGTCTGCCATGCTTTTTACTTAGACAGTGAACTGACTATAGCAGAGCATAGCCTAGAAGATAAACTTGGATGCCACAGAGCATCACTCACAGGCCCCTCACAATCAGATCAAACTGACACTTCAACCAAATTTCAAGTTCAAAATGGAAGACTAGGCCAACAGGATATTCCCTGAAATGAAGATCTCATTAAGTTTGCACAGAGGACATTTTTGGAAATTTGGGTTCGTAAGTTAGAGCTAACAAATATCCTATTGTTTTCTACCAACCAGGTCAGCTGCTGTGCACAAGACCACATGCTATTTCATCACCAGCAGACTATTCTCCATATGTTGGTCTAAGCTTTACTACTATTCTGTATCACAAAGCCACAGACACGTTTGTATTCACTGAACCATCCAAACAATGAGGTGCTGCATTAGTGTGCTGAACAAGCCAGACAACACCACAATAAGGGAAATACTTCTTACACCAGCAACTCCTATTATTTAAGTACAGGAACGGGCTCTAGTAATCCCTTGCAAGTCAAGAAAATTGGATTCATCTTTACCATGAACTCCTACCCACAATCACACCAGAACTTAGGCTAATCTCTACTAAGAAAGCCACCGGGTCCCCTACGCACCAGCAGCAGGTAAGGCAATCTGGGACTTCTAAATTAGGGTACCACAGTACCCCGTATCAGCTTGGTAAGTGAAATTATTTTAAAGGGAGATGAGCAACAATCTGTCATAGTATGACATTACATCATCTCCCTTCTCATTCTGACTAACTAAAGCCTTCGGCCATACAGTTATTTGTTCCCTCCCTTGGGTCTAAGCAAGTCCTCCCTTCAGTTTCCCCTCTCCGCGCTGCAGCGGTGAAGCCAGCTCCTCCTGCCCGGGTAGCCCCGGCACCCGGACCGTGTCCCCCGCGCACAGGAG